GCATTATCAAAGTCGTGACATCTGGAATGCAGTTGATGAACTCTGCATTGTACCAAAACTTCATCAGAATGAACTCCGTTACATATCAGGAACTAGTGTGTGAGGTAGGACATAAATTAGAACGTGTGCCTAGTCGTCCTGATATATTGTCAGTTGGGGAGATTTTAACAGCCACTTTGAGGTACAATATGAACATTTAATTTACAAATGAAAACTATAAACAATTTACTTAATTGATACTAAATTGTAGTTTATATTAAAAAATATTTTAAAAAACACAATATTTTATTTTATTTAAATTTTTCAGATACCTTGCATCTGGAGATTCAATGGTATCAATTATGTATGCTTTCCGTATTGGAAAGTCAACTATTTACAAATTATTATTTGAATGTTGTACAGCTTTATGGGAAATATTAAGCAGCAAAGTATATTTTATATAATATTTAATATAATTCTTGCATTGTATAGTATATACTACTTGGCCTAATCTATATTAAAATATTTGTTTTTTAGTTATTGCCTCTACCAGATACTAATAAATGGAAAAATCTGGCCAATGAGTTCTATGATAAGTGGCAAATGCCAAATTGCTGTGGAAGTATTGATGGAAAACATATAGTACACAAGGTACGAAATACAATGTTTATTAAAGGACCTATATTTATTTTATATATAAATGGTTTATTGAACCTGGATATTAATGCTAAAATTGTACATATAAGAATATTGATAAAGTTGATAGCTTAAAATACTTAGGTTTACATATGGATACCAACTTGAAATGGAAAAAGCACTCTGACTATGGTATAACAAAAGTTAGACAATTTTTCTTTATTTTTAGAAACATAAGAGATATACAGATACTAGACAAGAAACACTTAAGAATAATTTATCTTTCTTTCCACAACCAGTTATTACATATGGTATTGAAATATGGGGATGAACATTTAATACGCACTTAATTAAGTTAAAAACTATTCTAAATAAAATAGTTAAATATATTCTAAAGGTACCTTGTTTTTATAAGATATGTTTCAGTTATAATGATCTCAATGTGTTTGACTTTGATAAATAATTTAAAAAAACTTACTAGCTTATAAAAATAAAAACTGTTTAATTACTTGTAATCATAATCATAATACTAGGTATAAAAAATATATTAATGTAATATTAAAACAAATTATACTAAATAAAATTAATAACTAAATACTTAATTATTGGTAAACATATATTTTAAGAGTTCAACTATTTAAATAATTGTTTGAATTCTATTTTTAATAAATTGTACTACTTTAGTGGTAATAAAAATACGTTGTGGTCATCAGGAAGATGTAAATTTTAAATTTTAAATTCTGAATTTCATTTAATAGTTTAATACTGCCTACAAACATTGGAGACGAAGTAAGTCATTTCAACTGATCTAAATTCAATGATCAAATGATTTTCTAAGAACAGCAACCGAACTATAAATAAAGTAATATATTATAATAATTAATAAGTAATGGCTTATGCCACAGTATAAATAACAGTATCTACTTTGAGTGCAAAGTTAATAATTTAACATAAAATAATACATTTTTTAATTTAAGTCAGTATAGTACATAATACTATACCTTACAAAATAATAATAAGTAATTTCCTCAGAAAAATAATGAAACAAAAAAAAAATGATTATAAAGCATATGAATTATCAATTTTGGTTAAAACATACACTTTGCTATCACTAAGTGATACCTTTAAATGCAATAAAAACATGTATTGTAGTATAAATATTATTTTCTCTTCTCCTATAAAACTAAAAATTAAAACCTTTAATTTTTTGGTTTATCAACAGCAGACCTTGATACAACCCATTCAAAAACTATTGTTGGAATTTAACTTTTTTAAATAAAATTAATCATAAGAATTTACTTATATGATGGATTTTGTAAAGTGATTGCAAACTGGGTGAATGTCGTTGACAAGTGGAGGTCTTGAATATCATCAGGTGTTTCAGGAAACAGCTTTGCCTCACACAAAGCATTCGCTCAGAACCTTGGAAGTTGTAATTTTGGGCAGCATTTGGAATACTATGGATTTAGCCTGTGTAATAATTAAACATAAATGTTAAAAGATTATTATACTTTTACAATTTAAGATAAAACGATTCACAATAATAAGTAGGCATTTATTTCATTTATGAAATGGTAAAAAGAATATGCATTAATTAACAATTTCTTCCAAGTATATTCCTCTTGAGGTGTATGAAGATACTGTTTTGCGTAATACTATTTTGTCAAGGTTTTCCTGAGTAATGGAACATCCATGTTGAATGGCCTCATTTGATGATTGTGCAGCTTATAAAAAGTCAACCTCTTGTTGAGATTTTTTTCTACTAGATACCAAATAACTGTAGGAGTCAGACATAACATTTATTTATTTTTTGTGTTTGTTTTAATTTTTCTTTGTACTTACATTTAAGTTTCAGTATTTTTATTGTTATAATAAAAGAAGCCAGATTATCCCTTATGATTTATGTAGTCCACCAAAAGGCAAAAATTATGATGGAAGTCTGAGGCCTTTCCAAATTAAGGACTTCATATGGAAGCTTCTGAACTTCTGTTACATTACCTATAATTATAATACTTATTTATTTGATAACATCTAAGAACATTAAATAACATGTGCACATAAACAAATGATACTTTTCGATTGACTCTAAAGCATCTATAAAAAAACAAAATTGGGAACAATTATTGAAGACTTATTTACTGAGTTTTTAAATACATGTAAATCTGAACTATGAGCATAATATTTAATTGAATCGCTAATTTTATTTACAAGTGGAGTACATACCATTATCATTGTTTTCCACATCAACCAATGTATATATTCGTGATCATGACTAATAATACCTAAATCAACATTTAATTTATAGGAGCAAACTGATGGTATGAAGGTTGAAAGGAAAGTATTGGAAATTTAGTTTGCTAAACTTTAATGGGTTTTTCTTGTGAATGAGTGTGAACTATTATTTTTAAAGAACTTGAATATTATTCATCTAATCATATATTATTCAATTATCATGTTTCTTAAGCTATTGTTATTGGAGATAAAAATTGTTGACAGTGATTTAAAAAAGAGTCTACAGAGTCTGGATGATCTAATAAATAGATGTTATGCTAAAGTATTATATGAGTGTGTCTGTTTGGTACCTAGAAAAAATTCTCTGATTTCTTACGTAGTTACTGGTAGGAAGTAAAACTGGTTGGAAAAAAAAGTTTGGTCAATAGTAAAAAAAATAGACAGTTTTTGTTCAATTATTTTTCGTATAAAACGAATGAAAACAAAATTCATCGTATAATCACAACATGTAAAAATTATTTTTAGCTAAACAATTCATAACATTCTAAATTTTAATTTTTAATGTAATTCGTAATCTAAAGAAATGATTTTGCAAAATTGTCTGATTATTATCTACTATCTAGTTCTATTATATTCAGTAATATTTGTATTTATACTATTCATACTAATAGTACATCGATTTTAAAGTTATCTTATTTTATTTTTTTGATAATTGTGTATGTTTTTAAACTTTTTGTGTCTTTGTACATGATACGCAGTTAAAATATTTAATAATTATAGTAACATTATTAATTAATCATTCAATATAAGTAATTTTTTTTTTTTTTTTTGTAGGAAAGTGAACTTGAAATTAAAATTCTTAGTAGTTTTCAAGGTTAGGTTAGGTATTATTTTGAGCTGCTTACGAACATTTTCAATTTTTAATATTTTTGGTTTTTTTCTTCTTTAAAATATAAATGCCCATAAAGTGGGGTATGCACAGTGTATTCCACACTGGTGGGCCTCCCTCCCATTTTACGTTATGTTCCTTATATTTTATAAAATTTACTTATTGTATTGTATATATATATTAAATATTAGAGATTGTAAATACTCTATTGTATCAAATAAATGAAAAAAAAATGTCGATAAAATATTTTTGCTGGTTTAGAAAACTTGAAGACTTTTGATATATTGTTTAAGTATAAATTTAAAAATATTAAAAAATACATATTTAGTATTTTGTTTTATAAACATTTAAAGTTAAGGCGGCTCTAAACGATAGGATTTTTCATGCATTAAGACATATAAGCTGGCGAAAAATTAACGTACTTCTAGATTTCCAATTTTAATTTTGAATACTAATTTGAATTTGTCAATCTCTTTTCTATGTTTTGTAGGAAAAACTTTTTCATTTTTTCGGTTTGTTAGCACTTTTAAGTACGAGTTAATTCTGAGAAATTAAATAAAGTCATTTGAAACAGTACTCCGTAAACGATTCAAAATTTCAAAAATATGTTTCCTACAAATCATAGAAAAGAGGCTAATAATTTCAAATAATTTTTCGAAATTAAAATTGGATTACTAGAAGTATGTTAATTTTTCGCCAGCTTATTAGCATTATTCATCGTCACGTGTGTACAAAAATTCTTTTCGAGTCTGCCCTCATTGACTTGTACATGCGCGTGCGTGTGCCATGGAACAGTCGTCTTGTTCGCCCGCGACCGACCGATAAGAAATCTATTGTTTTCTATTTCTTTGAAATTGTTATTTTATGTTATATAATATTAAATTTAGTAAAAGGAAATAGCAGTGATTATAAATAATAGTATTTATTATCAATGATAATAGTAGGTTGTTACCATCAGTTCATACTTTCATAGTTAGTGACGATTGTTTAAATTTTATGCAATTGCAAATAATAACATATTATTCAAATCAAAATGAGTGATTGACGATTTAGTAGGAAAACGCGTCCAAAATTATCTGCGCCACGGAAAAATTAAAACATAATTTGAAAAATATACATTCCAAAGTTATTAGAACATTAGAGGACAATGATGTTCAGGTATCTATGAGTTTATGTTGTATACATTTAAATAACACCTTGTGATGTTATAGAATTCTTAATATAATTAGAGGAGGATTTTTTTTACGGATATATGGCATAGGCATTTATTACAATTCACAACATTTTTGTATAATAATAGGCATACCGCATACGCTGTACAAAAAAGTTATTATACCTAATATTATATTCATGAATATACGTAAAGTAATTTATTTTCCATTTTTAGATTCTGAGCGGAGCGATGAATGTATTGATTTTACAATGATGTGTGTTTTAGATTCTGAGCGAAGCGATGAATGTATTGATTTTACAATGATGTGTGTTTTTTTTTTTATTTTTTTTTTTATTTTNTTAAATTCTGAATTTCATTTAATACTGCCTACAAAAGTACAAACATCGGAGACGAAGTAAGTTATTTCAACTGAACTAAATTCAATGATCAAATGATTTTCTAAGAACAGCAACCGATCTATAAATAAAGTAAAATATTATAATAATTAATAAGTAATTGCTTACCTATACCACTGTATAAATATCAGTATCTACTTAGAGTGCAAAGTTTAACATAAAATAATACATTTTTTCATTTAAGTCAGTATAGTACATAATATTAGGCATAATATTATTACACATGATTTTTAATTTTCATTAATGACCTACCTCAATTATTTAATAATCCCATACAAATCTTGGTTTACGCTGACGACACTAAAGTGTATTGTCCAATTGATTCTATTGCAGATTCTGAACGCTTACAGATTAACTTAAATTTACTTTTTGCATGGTGTAACACTAATCACTTACTACTAAATATTACTAAATGTCAGGTTATTTCCTTTACTCGCTCTAAAAATCCAATTATTTTAAAATATAAAATCAACAATAACGTACTAAACAGAGTTCATGTTATAAAAGATCTGGGTATTCATTTTGAACATGATTTATCATTTAAATTTAATCACATAACAGTATTGAATAAATCACACAAGATGCTTGGTTTCCAAAATAGAAATACGCAAGAATTTAAAAATGTATTTTGCTTAAAAAATTTATATTGTTCTCTTGTACGTTCTTCCTTAGAATTCGGCTCATTAATTTGGTCACAGAATTTATCGACTTATATAAATGAACATAAAATTGTGCAATATAAATTTCTAAAAAGAGT